ATATATATATATATATATATATATATATATATATATATATATATATATATATATATATATATATATATATATAGAGAGAGAGAGAGAGAGAGAGAGAGAGAGAGAGAGAGAGAGCTTATAACACATATTGATGCGTAAATGGCTTTATTTATAGAGCAGGTAATCGTGCTCAAAGGCGATTTTTAGGGCTCTATACATTCATTTAATTGTTTCAACCACGTATAGAAATTCAACCCAAAAAACTAAGAGCATTCACAAATCATGGCATTCAATTCAATGGCCATTCCACCCCACTTTTGATTCCATGTGAAGGCATGACTCCCTCATTTTTTTTTTAATATTTTTAATATTTTAATTTTTGGGAAAAAATATTTTTTAAAAGAAGTGGACATGTTTTAATAATAAAATAAATGTGTAAAATAATTTTTGATAATTAAAAATCATTAAAAAGTACAAAAATAGACAAAAACAATGACTTGCTACTATATGTTAAGACACTCCACTCATTTGCCACACGATGACTGGTGACTGGGTTATTTTTATTGGTTGAAATAGTCCATGTCACCGTGTGGCATTTCATTTTTGCCTTGCCATTGCTAATGCTCTAAGTTTACACTTTGATTTGACAAATTTTATTTAAATTAAAATAAGTTTGGTAAAAAATGATAGGTGTGATTGAAATTTACTAGATTCTAACCCGTGTGATGCACGGTAAAAATTTCATTTAACAATAAACGTAATAAAAATAGCAACGTAAATTTCATATTGTCGTGTAGAGTTTGTCAATTAGTAATGAACACCTTATTCATAATTTATATAATGTATATAGTGTATAAATGTGAATTTCACCAATCAATATTGCAAGATATCAATTAATTTGAAATATAATCATAAATCCTCGGAGGCCTCTTCATACACATCATTCATATATGCATGATTTTGGAATTGTTCTGTTTGTCGCAAATCAAGATCTTCAGTCCTTATCGATTTAGCGTCTGTAAAAATAACAACGTAAAGTTGACATTGTCGTGTAGAGTTTGTCGATTAGTAATGAAGACCTTATTCATTTTCTAGTCTCGAGATAGGACCATGCGAGCTCGTATATATTTTGAATTTGATATTTTATAAATATAACTATATTTATTGTAATTTTCTAACGATATTTTTATGCTTCCATTTTGGATTATATTCTTTTAAATATTTTTGTTTAAAATTCTATTGTTTTAATATTTTAACATTTAGATCATACTACTACAATAATGTAATTGGATAAAAAATGTTGAAGTAAATAATGTAGATAATTCGAAGTAGTATTTTTATGAAGTAGTAAAATAAATGATGGATAGTTTTAAAAAAATTATAAACAATTATATTGGTACTTTTTTTTAATAAAATTTATTTTAGTTGTTTTGATAAAAACATTCTTATGAACATTTTAAAACTGAAATTTATATTTTAAATAGTTAGAAACTAAAGGATTTTATAAAACAAATATTAAAAATAATGGCTACTCTGTATTTTAAATTAAAATGTAAAAGATATAGAAAATATGTTAATAAAATTTCAAAACTTTTATATGTTGCTTGTATGTTTTTTTTAAAACTAAATGAGTAAAAAGCCTAGAGTATTATGTGGATATAACTTTTCATTTTCTTCATTCTCTCTAAAAATTAAGTGGAAGAGATGGCATGATGTAGCAATCTATTTGGCAAGAAACTAATGACGTGGCATGATACATGTCGTAACCACAATGAATCCGCTCAACTTTATAAATATATATATATGATGATATGATGATATGATATATAATATATGATATGATATGATATGACGATATGATATGATATGTGTCACTTAAACGGCCTTAAATGATTGTTTTATCTAAAAAGAAAGTTAAAAATTGCATAAAAAATTACAAAATATTTTTCTAAATTTCCTTTCAGATATATATGACCGCTAACATTTTTTTTATTACTGTAGTATTTTTTTTAAACTAATGTGGGAGAGAAAAACGTTCATATTTATATTTTTATTTTTATCATAGAACCATCAGATTGCTAAATTTCCTTTATATTTTTATCATAGAACCATCAGATCGCTAATCCAAGTTTTTTAAATAGTTCGGGAGAGAAGATTCATATTACTGTGTGGGAATAGAATCACATTTTCGATAGTTTGAGTTAATGAGCGGTAAAGGATCATGTTTTTTTAATCGTAGAATCATAAGATCGGTAATCCAAGTTTTTTATTTGATGCGGCTGTGTAAATATTGCTTCCTTCACTGAATTTAGTTCTCATTTTTCGTTTTAGAATATCTTAAGGCTCTGTTTGGTACACAGAATTCAAACTACGGAATTGGAATTGAGGACAATAATTCCAATTTTGTTGTTTGATAGCACAAAAATATGTGAATTTGGAATGCGTAGTGTCAAAAATGAATTAGAATTGGAAAACTCAATTCGATCTAAATCAATCCCATAGAATTTCAACCTCCAATTTAATTCCAATTCCGTCGATTTTGTGTACCAAACGGACCCAAAATATCATTTCTTGTTTTAGAAAAATATAGTGCATTTAGTTATTTTCTAAGTTAAGTGAAATCTCTAACAAGGAATTTCATTTTTAAGTAAATATATAGTCCCTCCGTTTTTTAAAGTACTTCTTTCATTTTTTGGTTTTTCCTTAAACACTTTAACTTTTTATTAAAAAACTACTTTTACCATACGTTTTCTTACCATATCTATCATATCATACTTTTTTTCAAATAATTTTACTCATCACATTGTACTTTTACCTATCACATTAAAAGTAAAATTGAAAAGTCAATCACAAATATACATTCCTTATTTATCTTAAAAGCTAGGTCAAATAGAAACCATTTTATGAAAGAAAAGAAGTAGGTAAAGTCCAAATGAAAACTTAATATAAGACCCCAGGGTGTCATTACTACCATCACTGCTTCCAATTTAGCGTCACATGAGCTTTTTTCATTTCATCATCATTCGGGTGTGTGGATCCCCATTTCATCTCTAATTTTTTTATTTTTTAAAATATTACTTTTATAACATTTCATTTACTGTTTTAACTTAAATAAATACGTTATTACATAAACTTATACATAAAATTTAAAACTTACACTTTATTTAAAAAACCACAAACTTAAATTATGAATTAAATAAAGTGCGTAATGATCGAAAAAGTTAAAGAAGTAGAATGAAATTAAAAAAAAAAAGATTCAATAATATTTTTTATTAAATGCAGAACCAACAATCGAAAAGAAAAAAAGTTCAAAACTTGCTAGCCGTGGAGGTCGGCGTACAAATGTCGATCACGTCGAGTCCCGATCGGGGTGGGGTGGGGCGGGGTTTCGACTCGAGACCGGCGGCTGCCAAATCGGACACCCAATGCCGACCCTCCATGGCCTACTACTACCAAAGAAGTACCATACACACATTGCTTCAAGCATCATTGAATGGTTTCCCGTTTGGCAGCTCACTCAAGTCAACCTCTACATGAACTTGCTTCTTTTCAATACCTCCTCCTCTATTGGAATATTTGTAGTACTTTGCATACAATAGTAATTGAGCCAGCCCAAGTAGCACTCCTATCCCATTCGGCACCTAAAACAATGAGCCCACGTGACCTCCAAGTTTATGCATGGGAAGAATTTTGTTTTAAGATATTTACCTGATTTATAAAGTTATTATTTCACATTTTCACATACTCTCCGATATTAAGTTCATACAACCTTGTATTTTAAAACTTTTGATGCATGGAATACATTTTAAATATGTTAGTTTAATATTTAAATAACTTTGATAATAAAGTACTTTGATCAATACTAAAATCAATTGATTTGAAATTAGTTTTCGTTAAATATTTTAAGAAAATAGCTTGGGGTATATATTAAGTTTTCATCCAATTTATTGCACACCAAGCGTATCATAGTGATATAGACAACCGTTAATTATTTGTGAATCTCACAAATAATTATTATCTGTGTATGTCTGTGACACACTGAGTGTATAATAAGTTTGGGCACAAACCTTGTGTACCCTCACACACATCCTATTCTAAATAGAAATATGAAATTTGAGGGAGAATTGAAGATTTAAAGTTGACATGCATATTATCCGCCCAATCCATAAGCTTTAATTTTAAGGTTGATTTACTTTTTGCATGCATGAGAAAAAGGAAAGCATATATATTACTCCTTCTGTCCCTAAATAAATTTTCCCTTTTGTTTTTTCTTTTTCCCCAAATAAACTTCTCTTTTTCCTTAAAAAACCTTTTTTATCCCTTTTTCATACCCTACCTATCACATCATATACCTTTTTACTAATAATTTACATATCACATCTTACTTTTACACATCACATCAAGGGTATTTTTGGAAAGTCAACACAAAAATATTCCTCCCTTAAATCTTCAAAAAGTCAAAAAGGGAAGTTTATTTAGGGACGGAGGGAGTATATTACTCCATATATAGAGGGCGTTTAATTGGGATTGCATCTAAAAATAGCAAATAACTTCTAATTTATTAAAACACAATTTTAAATGTTTGCTAATCTGTTTTAGCTTATAAATTATGACTTTAGAACTTAACATTGAGGTTTAGAAATGCTTTTTAGCAAAGCTAAAAATACATGTTTTCTGCTTCTAAATTACGACTTCTATTTTTACATAACTCACCACACTCCCAAACACGCTCATAATATATATATTTGGGATATTATTAATTGGGAGATGCAATAATGTATGTATGTATAGTTAGTTAATTACCAGAATGCACAGATCTATTCCAACCAGAGCATAAAGAGTCCAGCAAAGACTGTTGAGCAGGGAACAGAGTGAAAGCGAGAAAGGCATGTACTCCACACTCTTCGTGCTGATCACCAACTTCTGCACGTTTTGAGACAAAAAGTTCTTGATCCACTACTTATTACTCCCCAGTCCCATAAAGATGGCTACATTTTAACTAAAGTAGAAATTAAGGGAGGGATAATTTTGTGTTGATTTTCCAAAAATACCCTTGATGTGATGGATAAAGGTATGATGTGATGTGTAGATTATTAGAAAAAAGGTATGATGTGATAGGTAGGGTTTGAAAAAGTAAGGGGTAAAAGTAGTTTTTTAATAGAAATGGGTAAGGGATTGTGGGATACAAATTTTTTGAAACGTGTAAATCTTTTTGGGACGGAGGGAGTATAAGTTTAGAACACCTGCAGCCTAGCTATTAATAATTAATGCTTAGCTTTTAATAAGAAGGCATTACAAATTAATCCTTGCCACTAATCTCTGGAGGCGCGTTAACCTTCGTAGCTCCGTGATCATAAAGTTCACATGTAAACCCGAATATATCTTGCACTTTTAAGCATGAACGTTACTCATTCTTTTTAAAACTTCGTAAATATAATTCCCCCCCTTTCCTTCCTCTGGGGATCGAGTGTTGCACCGTTTGAAGTGTGAATATAGTGCTTCGGGGACATCAAACATTTGACACCAAATGTATACGCTGACACTCACACCCACACTTAATGTACATACATGAAGTATCTGTGTCTATGTAGCAAGCATTGGTGTTGATTTCATGTCTCTCTACACACCACCACTCTTAAAGTATATAATACCCATATTTATTTCTCACTATTTTCATACTAATTAAGGTACTTTTTTTTCTTTTCAAAAAATAATGTTGCATTTCCTTTCTTTGGTAAAAAAATATTTCATTATCCTTATTTCTTTCTCTTTTAAGAGCATTTTGGATAAAAGGTTTAACAGTACAGATTAACTTTGACAATGCTAACACTAAACGATGTTCGTAGATAACATCTTCAATACACTAACGCTAACATCCAATGCTGCTCACAAAGAGACCTTAAATAAAAATTCAATTGAATTATGTGTCCAATCAAATTTGGAATTTTAATTTTAAGCTGAGGGGGCAGTTATCTCTTTTAATTCGACTTAACTACTCTCCCTTCGTCTAATATATAGTTTTTCTTTTTGGAATAACATTAATATTTATTTTATTTCGAAAGCACCATTAATATTTATATTTACACTTAGATGTCTTTTTTTTAAAATTAAATGATATGTTAAACTAGATTTCAAAGTTAATCCATCCGTATTGTATTTATATCATAACTAAGGCCTTGCTCTTTTGGGTTAGAAAAATTAATTTCTAACTTTTTTCAACTATTTCGTGTTCATGCCCATTTCTTCTAGTTTTTTCCAACAACGACTTAAAAATCTATTTATATATATGATGAATATACAATAACATTATATATCTAAATTTATAACATACCACCTCAAATACGAACAAGGATGAATTCTTTTTTATCCAAAATTAGAATTTTCTTACACTTATTTGGATGATTTTAAGTGAATGACTTTTTTACACTTTAATTTTTCCAACTTCTTTCAATTTTTCAATATCCAATTCTAAAATTCCAATCAAAAAGAGCAGGGCCTATGTAATTTTCCATCCCATAAGATAGAGGGAGTATTAAATAAACAATGATCCCTCATATCCCAAAATGAGGGTAATTTTAAAATTTTGACCTAAAGTTTGACTAAAAGAATATACGAGCTGAGTAATTTTGATATTGGTGTGTTTATGAAGATAAGTAGTTTTATTATTTGTAAGTTTTATTATTTTTAACAATGTATGTAAAGAGCATAGATTGAAAAAAAATATTTCAATAAGTAAAAGTACTCATGCCTTGTTTTAATTATATTTCTTCAACTTCTTTACTTATTACGGAGTACTTATTATATATTATTAGAGTGTCATCTCGCATTGGAAATTCAAGAACAAAATAATCGGTATATAAGCTCTTGAGTTGAATTAACTAATCTATTGGATTCAATTTTTTAATGTGGTTTAGCCCAAGTGTCTTATATTACCCAATCCAGTTGTCCATACACATCCTGATAAAATTTAGGATGGGTACGGATAACTGGATTGGGTAATAAGACACTTGGGTTGAACCACATTAAAAGATTGAATCCAATCAATTAGTTAGTTCAACTCTAGAGCTTATATACTGATTATTTTACTCTTGGATTTCCGATGTGGGATGTACTCTAACACTTCCCCTCACGTGGACAACCGGGCCATTTTGAATCTAACCGGTTGATCACTTGCAAATGAACTCCCATTCCCTTGACTTTTTTTTAATGAGTGCCAACACCTAAAGGACCACGAGCCGCTGGGTATGGACTTCCAGACGAGCAATCGTGTTAAACAGGCCACAGGCCGTTGGGTACAACCTCCATACGGACAACTGGGCTAAAGACTAACGGGCCGCTAGGAATGAACGTCTAGACGGACACCTTGACAAACGAGGTGGGCTAAAACTGGCTCTGATACCATGATAAAATTTAGGATGGGTACGGATAACTGGATTGGGTAATAAGACACTTGGGTTGAACCACATTAAAAGATTGAATCCAATCAATTAGTTAGTTCAACTCTAGAGCTTATATACTGATTATTTTACTCTTGGATTTCCGATGTGGGATGTACTCTAACACATCCTAAATTTTATCATGGTATCAGAGCAGGTTTTGGCTCATCTCGTTTGTCAAGGTGTCCATCTAGACATTCATTTCTAGCGGCTCGTTAGTCTTTAGCTCAGTTGTCTGTGTGGAATATGTACCCAACGGCCTGTGGCCCGTTTAACACGATTGCTCGTCTAGAAGTCTATACCCAGCGGCTCGTGATCCTTTAGGTGTTGGCGCTCAAAAAATCAAGGGAATGTGAGTTTATTTGCAAGTGGTCAACCGGTTAGATTCAAAATGGCCCGGTTGTCTACTTGATGAGGAGTGTTAGAGTGTTTCAATGTGGTTCAGCACAAGTGTCTTATTACCCAATGCAGTTGTCCATATCCATTCTAAATTTTATCATATATATTCTTATTAGAATAAGATAAGACTAGACCAAAGCAGATTTAAAATAATCAGATCAAGTCAGACCAGTTAACTTTAGAAGTGACATTATTTTTAGCTAGAATAAGATAAGACTAGAAAAATTAAAATCAAATCATATCACAACCAATAAATTCACGTAAACTTACCATGCTTGCGAGAGGAGAAGCATACATGGCAATGCTAGCCATAGCAGCAATGGTTCCAATAATAGCGGATCGGAGTCTCCAAGAATGCGCAAGGGTAATGACGAGAGCGGCAAGAACTGCCATAAAAATGAGCTCGGCCAAGATGACGAGGGCTAACGCGAATCTCTTCCTCTTGTCCGAGTAAAACAAGAATACAAACAAGAAGACAACCTCAATGGCTAAGCCTGCGCCATCAATGGTCAACACGAGCAAGGCCTTGGGGTGAACGATTGGGATTCCATACAATGACCAAAGCCCACAGTTGATGAATGTTGCTAGGTATGGTACTGATGAGTATTGTGCCACTGTTCCCTCCTTCCATATCTTCACTATTGTAGGGCTGAAATCAAATTTGTTGAAATAGCATAATAATAATAATAATAATAATAATAACAACAACAACTTTTATTTATTGTACTTCATTCGTTTTAACACTATATGCTTAAAATATATCTAATATAACAATGCTATGGGATATTGGAACTCGTGTGGATGCAATTTCAAATTTGTCCTTGCATTCCACACTGCCAAAAATGTGTTTAAGTTGGTATACACTTTCGAAACATGGACATAACACAATGCCGTCATATCTAATATAACATGTATCCACACTACTAAAGCATGATCATTGCACACTGCCAAAAAATGTGTTTAAGTTGGTATTCACTTCCAGAACATTGGCATAACACAATGCCAGAAAGTGTAGTTAAGTATTGTGAACCATGACAGACTGCCCAAAACATGGACATAATACACTACCAGAAAGTGTAGGCATAACTTGACCATTCCACACGGCCAAAAAAGTCGGTATACACTTCCAATTTCATTTATACAATGTGTTTAAATAGTGAGGAGTGGCACGACAGTTCGAAGTGCTGCGTACAAGGAATGAGAATAACCTCCTAAAATTATGGATCTCAATAAATATGGTAAATGAAATAATTAAAATACTGCATTATACTCCCTACGTCCCTTTAAACATGTGATGTTTTGATTTTGAAGAGATTTAAGGAGAGTGTATTTTGGTATTGAATTTCCAAAAATGTCCTTTGATTTGATTGGTAAAAGTAAGATTTGATGGGTAGATTATTAGTAAAAAGGTATGTTGTGATAGGTAGGGTATGAAAAGGTAAGGGGTAAAAGTGACTTTTTAATAGAAATAAGAAGTGTTTTTTGGGACGGATGAAAAAAGAAAGGAGAAAAGGTAAGGGGTAAAAGTGACTTTTTAATATATACTCCGTATATATATATACATACATACATACATACATACATACATACATACATACATACATACATACATACATACATACATACATACATACATACATACATACATACATACATACATACATATATATATATATATATATATATATATATATATATATATAATGAAAAATTATGACATTGAACAATATCAACACTCATATCTAGGGAATAAAAGTATATGAGGTCTTATTTTAAAGTAAGCTTTCTTTTAGTCATATTTAGATAGATTTTTATTGAAAATAAAGGTATGTTAATGTTTTGTCAGACATGCTTGAATGAGAATTTCGACCTAAAAATATATTGAGAGTAACGAGGTAAATAAGATGAAAATGTAGAAATAATGGTGTAAATAAATGAATTTAGGAGTATTTATGTAAAATCAGTCATTTCTGAGAGTATTCTTGTACTTTTTTCGTCAAAATAACTTTGCGCTTAATATTTTAAACAATATTTTAAAAACAATATTTAAATGGAGTAACATTTTATATTTTCATATTTCCTTTAGATTTTACTGCGTGCCTCAGGGCCGGCTGAGGGTGCTTTGGTCGATATCGACTTGGAGGTCTCAAGGCATAGTATGGTCTTAATACAAGATCATCACAAAAGCACGTTAAGCACATATGACCCAAATTTTGGTGAATTGACACCTCGGGCAAGATATTGCTTTTTAGACATGTTTGGAACTCATAAGCGTGCTTTGGTTGATTTTGGACACCGTCGATGTGGAGGTCTCAAGGCATAGTATGGTCTCAATACAAAATCTTAACAAAAATGTGTTACGGACATATGCTTCAAACTTTGGTGAATTGACACTCCGGACAATATGGTGGGCTAATGTGCCATACAGGCCAGACTCATTTTTTGGAAGACCTAACTTTTTCAATTTTAAATAAAAAATTTGAAAATTAATTTTCTAAAAAAATTACAAACTTAATTTTTGTAAGGTAACTATTACGATTTTTTAATTAGAATATTATAGTTTTGTTATGTGTACTATTATAACATTAGCTGTGGTTTTAAGAAAAAATAGTTTATCCTCCCTCCGTCCCCAATTTGATTACAATTTTTTTCTTCTCTTGATAAGTTTTGTTTGTTTACGCGATTTCATTAAGTATTTGATAAAATAAAATATTCTTGTCACCTCTTATTTGGTAGAACTTTTGATGTAGTTTTTTAATATGTAATTTTTATTTCTTATTGATATACCTATTCGTAAATAAAATGATTTCAAAAAGTGGGATATTTTTCCTCGTTAACCCTAATTTGTAATCGACCAAATTAGGGACGGAGGAAGTATAATTTATGCTTTCAAAAAATAGTTTATATAACTTATTTTAGTAGAGTCAAGACTCATTTTTTAAGTAAACCCCCTAAATAGGAGTAAAACAAGTGTTATATCCTCAAAGTAGGAGTTCTAACATAAACTCATATCAATAGGAGTAGTCCCCACGTGCATCATTTCCNCCCCACCTTAAGCTTACTATGAATAGATTTTGTAATATTTAACTCAATGGATCTTTCTCAGCCTGCTTCTCCCTCTCCATTTTTTGAGTTCTCAATGGCTTATTTTTTAATTTTTTATTATTTTGAATGGGGTGAGTTCATGAGGCATTATGGTGATGATGAGTACTCATAAGTACTCGATTGAAGTAGCATGCTCTTAGATGAATTAGAAATTTGAGCACTCATTGAGAAGGAGTCTATGTTTTGAAATAGATCTATGTTTTTATGAGCCATTGAAATGGGTATTTGAAAAGAATCCAGACTACGATACACACATATGGTTCATGGCTTGTTTGATTTTTTTTAAAGTTTTTTATTTTAATTTATTGGCATACTTGCCGTTATACAATGGTATTTGTTGTATTATGCATTGTTATGTTTGCCATTATGACTTTATATACATTATGCGTTCGTATGTGTGACTTTCCACAGGGACATGTGTGTCATTGTTCAAGTTCATGTATCGCATTACGTGTTATCATATTTGACATTATACGTACCTTTATTTGACACTATATAAATATTTATTGTTGCATTGTGGAAGGGAATAGTGACAATGGTAAGGACATGGGGTGTGACGCCAGTTGCAGCGCTGTCCAAATTGTGACAGCAGCACATGTGACCATGGCCAGAGCAGTGTTGGCAGCAGTTCAGATAATAAAAATAGGGGGTTTCGAACTAGCGCCCTGGCGACTAGGCTCCTCCGACCAACAACGTCGCTCCTCTTAAGCTCGGGCTGCTTGGCGAAAGTGGTTGGCCTCTTCCACGGAGGCTACTAGATGTGACGGTGGTTGTGAATCCAAGGAGAAGAAGAGAAGAGACATTACAACTTTGGTTGGGACTTGCTTCTGAATGGCGGCGAGTTCTTCCTATGTGCCGCGGCGGCGACGAGCATCATGAGTCAAAGAAGACGGAGGTTGATTGATCAATTCCATTAAATACATTTATTTAATTTGGGTATGCTTTTGTAGATCTGCAATGGAGTGGCGCGTGGTGATTAGTTTGGATGGAGATAACTTAGTTTATAAGTTATAACTCCTATTTAGGGGATTTAAGTTTCAACTCCTATTTAGGGGATTGACATCTTTTTTACTCCTATTTTGGTCCTTCTCCCTCATTTTTTTCGTCTTCTCAGGCCACCGAATCCTCGGGGTTAGGCTCTTGGCAAGCACTTTCCTACTATTCTTTTTAGAACATTTTCATTTTTTTTCCTTTAAATATTTTTAATATGATGAAATTTTTTTTTATGTAATTAATTTGATAAAAATAAATTGTTGCTACCAAGTTTTGATATCTCTCCAATTACTAAATTTAGTGAAAATCAAAATGGAATAGGGCCAAAGAATAAAATTGTTGAAAAGACGTTGAATAGAAAAATGAATCGCTAGAATATAATTTGTTTAAAAGAAAAAAGTATTTTTGGATCACATTTTCTAATCTATAAAAGGAAAAAGAATTGGGAGAAAAATATTTTTAAGACAAGCAGAAAAAACGGGAAAACTTTTGTTAGACGGATAGAATGAGTAATGTTAGAGTTAAAAATAAAACATTCACAAAATGCATAAACTTACCATTTTTTAATTTAATTTTTTATTTTTAAATTATTTGAGATCATTATTTGAAACTGTTACTTTACATATTCGATAAGTTTGTGCATTTTGTGAATGTTTTGAGGAAATCATTCAAAATAAGACTAAAACATAGAGAAAAGTGTCAAAATATGACTTTTATGTTTTTATTCCCGAAATAAGCCTTCGCACTGTGGTAATGTGACATTGTACATGTATACATTTGTATACTTTTTGGTAATATACATGACCATGTTTGGTAATGTAATGCATTTTAACTCCTATTTTGGAAATAAAAATATGGAAGTCTTATTTTGGTATATTTTGTTTGTAACCCTAGTATTACTCGTATAGAATACAACATACTTCTCCCTATGAAAATGAGCTTTCTAAATGACAAATTTTGAGTATCTAAAAATGATCTTCCAATTATGTTGTTTAATATATTAACATACTCCCATCGTCCCATAAAATTTTTGCGCCTTTAAAATGCGAAATTTTAGTGTTATTTTTAATCATGACTTATTTATCTTACACATTTCATCTTACTCTATTATAAAGTAAGAACAAACTTAAAAAATAATATCAAAATAACTTATTTTAAGGGTGTCTTTTTTTTTTAAAAAAAAGAGTTTTATAGGACGGATGGTATATTAATACAAAATACCATAATTACCACATTGTTCTTATTTATTACACCAGTCTCACTCTCTCCTTCTCCATATATTTATTTTAGAGTAAATTCCATAAAAGGTCCCTACTTATAGGTCGTTTTACATATTTAGTCCCTACATATCAAATATTTCTAATTTAGTCCTCAATTATTATATTCATTTCCACGAATGGTCCTTTGTTAACATTTCCGTTAAGAACGTGGATAAAATTGTAAATTCACACTCCTTTCTCTCCTCAATTAAGCTTTATCCCTCCCCTCGCACTCCTTACCCAAACACGTCGCTGAGTTTGAAGCTTTTGAACCCAAAACCGAAATCATCACTCTTCTATCAATTTTGGGTTTAGAGCTTCAAACTCTGCGACGAGTTTGAGAAAGAGTATGAGAGGAGGGAGGAAACTTATTTGAGGAGAGAAGTATATAATATACTCTATCCGCGTCCCATTTTAAATCGCATGTTTTGACTTTTGGGCATATTTAAGGAAGAGAAAAAATAGAGGCGATTTTCCGAAATTGTCATTACTTTTTAGGAGGGGTAACGATGAATAAGAAGATAAAGTGGAAAGAGTGACTTATTTTAGGGGTAGTTTAGGTATTTTACTTTTAAAAGTTTACGATAACAAGTAACAGGCAACTTATTTTAGGACGGAGAAAAAAAGCAAACAGGCAATTTAAAATGGGACAGAGGGAGTACAATTATATCCATGTTCTTAACAAAAACGTTAACAAAGGACCATTCGTGAAAAATGATATAATAATTGGGGACTAAATTAGTAATATTTGATATGTATGGACTAAATATGTAAAACGACTTGGGGACCTTTTATGGAATTTACTCATTTATTTTATCATTTTTTTAATACACTGCTTCCACCATCATTAAAGGTAAAGTGAATATCTTCATTATTTTTTAACTCATTTTAAAGTGTGCGTGCGTCAAAACTAAAAGTCAATTTGAAAAAATCATCTATCGAAGGAGAATACATGTTGTGATACAAGAATATGCATATAAACACATAGTAACTCTTAGATTTAAAAAAGCGAAATATATGTATTGAACTTACAAAGGTGACAAGAACAAGACCAGACATATAACGTTCCCTGAAAAAATAGTAGAGAAATAAGCTGTGCATCAGTCCTTATAACAAGACCAATATTTATAATAAAAAAATGAAATAGGTGAAATTAAATAATTTTTGAAATGAAACCCTTGATTGGAATGACGCTTTTTGCTCCCTCCCTCACACATGAGAGCTAAAGTCACAATTTGATCTTTTTTCTTTTTTAAAATTACGGCACTCTTTGACAATAAAATGTAAGAGATCATATTTAAGTATCATGTAAAATTATTATGCTTCTATGATTCTATGGTCCATGTATCCCCATATAAAATATGGACTTTAATTCCTCACACTTTTAGTGGACTTCATGGAACTTTTTTAAAAGTTCAATTCATCAATGATGTTTATACACTAATAAAGCTTATAAAATGAGTGTGGCCGGACCTTAGGTTCGCAAAAAAATTTACCGTAAAATTAATATACGTAATTGGGTGTTTTTTTAAAGTAATTTTTATATATCATATAGTTGTGTTATCGTGATTTTAAAGTGCACATATAAAATGTAGACATTCTCGCATATTTTTATGAGTTTGTGGTTGGACCTCTTTTGCTTTACAAGACATAATACATCAATCATTCGTGCTTGTGGAATAGGATGTAAATTAAAAGAGCGGGTTGGAGCGAGTCTTATTAGATTCCACGCCTAAGAGCATCTCCAACCATAGCATTTTAGCTTGCTAAAAGTTATAATATAGCTAGCTAAACACTTTTGTTCTTCTCCAAAGGTGTGCTTTATTTTAGCAAGTTTGCCAAAAAATGACTTTGACTTGCTAAATATGACAAGTCCCTCAAACTTTAGCAAGTCAATACTTAAAAAATAAACTAGCAAATTGTGGTTGGAAAATGAAACGAGAAAGTGTTAGCTATATCACTATTCACTTGCTATAATGTAAGAATAGCAAATCCATATAACAAACATGGTTGGAGATGCTCTAATAACTTCATTTAAAATAACTCACCAGTCCTTGCATTTTAAAAAAAAAACATCAGTGGTCCCGACACTTTGTTATAACGTCTATTATTTCTTTAATGGCGGTGGAAAAAAATATATTTTCCTCATTTGGCCTTTAATAGTTTATGTTAATAAAGCTCAGGGCCTTCACTTTTTAGTTTCCTTTTTCTTTATTTCTATTTTTATAATGTTTTTTAACTCCATATGTAAGCGTTTTTTTCAAAATTCAAAATTATTTGTCTGCTATAAAAAATAAATTTAAATAAAATGACTACAGTATGGACAAAATGAGAAAAATACATCTTTAACGATCATTAATAGAATAGTGGACAAAATGTCTCCTCCCAATCTTTACAACAAAATGTAAGGGCCCATGATGTCTTTCTAAAAATGCAAGAACGTAACCTTCAGAAACTAATTTTTTGTTTATTTATTTTTATCCACGCCCCCTCATTTTTGCAAATGCATGTTCAAGTTAATGGTTTCTACCCCTAACTCTCGATAAATTTCACACCTAGTTCAGATCGAACCCATCCCCGAACTCATCTCATTCTCACATCAACTAAACTTGTGGGGTGTAATTGACGGGTGTAGAGATGAGTTCGGATCGCAATGCAGGGCCGGCCCAATAGGGGGACAAAGTATCTGTCCCGACTGGGCCCAAGTATTTAAGGGGCACAAATGTTTTTTTAAGTATGATACATATATGTGTATATAAGAAGCCCACCACAATTTAAAGCCCAACCCACATCTCCTATCCGTAGCCACGTAGAGTTGTAGACAAAAGAAAAAAAAGAAGGAACCGATCGAACTTCGAAGGAGCGTAGGAAACAGACGGAAGAAGCATTGAAATTTGCCGATTTGGGAAGAAGCCAAAGAAGAACCGATTTTACGATTCACGACACACGACGATGCCGGACTCCGCCGGACGCCGACCTCCAGCCTCCATGTATTTTTTCGTTTGTCACCTTCGATCGGTTATTTCTTTTTCCAATTTTGTAATTTTTATTTCTTAATTTTCTTTCATTGTTTCATTTTTTAGATTTAAAAACTAGGGTTAATTATTAATTTTTAATTTGAAATCGTTTCTAATTTCATTCTTGGAAATAAACTGAATTAATGGTTCTATATGTTATTTATTTGATTTGGATGAATTGATTGATTTTGTTATTTATGATATATTTATATAAAAAAACTGAAGACGGAAAAAAATTAAAAAACTAAAAAATTGACGAATTGATATAAATTTATGATTTATAAAAAAATTAAAACTGAAAAAGAAAAAAAAATAAAAAGAAAAATTGACGAATTGATATGAATTTATGATATGTTTATTTATTTGCTTTCTTTTTCATATTTGATTTTACTAAGTAGTAGAATTTATGAATTTGGATTTTATTTCAAAAACAAAAATTGACCAATTGATATGAATTTATGATATATTTATTTATTTGCTTGCTTTTTCATATTTGATTTTACTAAGTAGTAGAATTTATTAATTTCGTTTTTATTTTAGAACTTCTCGAATTCTCGGCTAGCTTTTACGGTATGTAATTATAATACTATAATATTGTCATTTTTCCTAATACTATTGTGTTAATTATCCTTTAAATATAATTACCTTACACCTGTTAATTTGTTAGATCATCAAGGATAAGATTTTTAGGGCATTTTTTCTATTTCGGCCCATGCATATGAATTCTCAGGACCGACCCTATCGTAATGGGTGGGGGTTTATCGGGTAGAAATCCTCAATTTGGGAACGGAATATCGTACGTAGTTGCCTAGTCTCACCCGTTGACACTAATTTGCATGTTATAAAAAGTACTCCATCCATAAAATTTTTCTCATTTGAATTTTCATGCTTTTTGATGCAACACTCAAATTTTCATGGTTTTTGATACATATATCCGACTACAGGATATGTTTTTTCATACTTTCCTCCGTTCCTGAAAACCTTTCTCCTTTTTTTTCATCCGTCTCAAAAAACACTTCTTATTTCTTTTAAAAAGTTACTTTTATCTCTTACTTTTTCATACCCTACCTATCAGATCATACTTTTTTACTAATAATCTACCCATCAAATCCTACTTTAACCATCACATCAAAGGACTTTTTTGGAAATTCAATACCAAAATACATTTCTCTTAAATATTAATAACTCCCATATTTTTAGGACTGGAAATTGGGTCGTGTGTTACTTGGACCCCACGACAAGAATGACCAAATCCCATTAGAAATTGGTGAACCTTTTCTTTGTCCCGTTGGACGATAAGAGCTTTGCTTATACCACACTTGCATCCTTGGCACTTGCAAGTGGAGATCTTTTCACGATCACCAAGTTCATCCCAAATTGTTTTTAATTTTCCAAAGTACGTGACAATGGACTGACCGTTTTGCTTGCATTTTGCAAGTTCTTTCTTCAGTTGATGAATCTGAGGACCGTTTGCAACGGAGAAACGATCTTGGATGTCTTTCCATAGTTCTGCTGCTTCTTCCACCTGTGTGATAGAGTTTCTCAAGCTACTATCAATGGTATTGTGAATCCATGAGACCAGCATGGCATTTACAATCCACCATTCTTCATAATTCTCATCTCCCTCTTCAGGACAAGGGATGGATCCATCAATGAATCCAATTTTCCGTTTTGCACGGAATGCAATTCTCATTGCACGAGCCCATTCTTCATAATTATCACCGTTTAATTTGACTTGGGTGATAATTAATCCGGGTGTAACAGCGTTCTTGATTTCATAAGAACTTCCTTTCGTAGGGATCTTCTCTTCATCATCGAAGATCTTTCCGATGATATTTTCCTCAGCATCTGCCATGTCGACGGTCGACGAAGATGGTCCGGCGGTCGATATAGGGGATCCGGCGGATGACTTGTTTGATTCGGCGGCTGGCAGCGATGGACCGTCGTTCATCTAGATTAGGGTTTTCCCTAGTAATCTTGCTCCGATACCATGTAGAAATTGATAAAAGAGAAAATATTCTTTATATTGTATTGTTCTTAGTAATTACAAATGGTTTCTCCTTTATTGATAGGAGAGGATAATTCCAAAATAGAAAAGGAATCCAAATCCTACAAAGAAACAAATCAATAATCCTAAACTAGGAAGTAAATCAAGAAGAATCTCAATTAGAATGGGATTTGGTCATTCTTGTCGTGGGGTCCAAGTAACACACGGCCCAACAAGTATATTTGAGTCATTTCTTTTAGAATAAATAAGCAGATATCTCTCTCCGTGCTTAATATAATACTCCATCCGTCCCTGAAAACCTTTCTCCTTTCTTTTTTCATCCGTCCCAAAAAACATTTCTCATTTCTATTAAAAAGTCACTTTTACCCCTTACTTTTTCATACCCTACCTATCACATCATACCTTTTTACTAATAATCTATCCATATCATCACATCAAAGAACATTTTTGGAAATTCAATACCAAAAATACACGCTCCTTAAATCCATCTTCAAAATCAAAACTCCCATGTTTTCCGGGACGGAGGGAGTATACTTCAAGCATGTATTTTTACTTTTCATCAAAGGTGTTTTCGTTTTTATATTATTCTTAATTTGAGTGAAATCATTTGTCTAGTGTAGTAGGATCGGAGATGGATAGAGAAACTATACTCCATAAATAAACCCTCCGTAAATACAAAAACAACTAAGAGCATCAACACGGACGTGTTTGGAGGAATGCCTCGCTGCCACACATCAGCACTGAGAAGGAGGTTGCCATGCGTGGACAGAGCATTCCTCCTCTATCTACGAGTCATGACCGTGTCAATGTGTTCCCATCAACTCCCTCTGTCCCTAAATATTTGTCACACTTGTATACTCGAAGCAAAATATCAAGTTTTTTCAATTCATTTTATTTACATATTGGTATATAAATAAAAAATAAAATTTACATATAAAAAAACTACATTAAAAGTTTTTCGAAATAAGATGTGTCAATAATAGTTTATTTTATCAAATAACCAATGAAAACATAGAAATAAACAAAAGTTTCCGCGACTGTTGA